CTTCATTGTAAACTACGCTTGGCGAACCAGCCACCTTGTGGCAGCCGCGATGCTAAGACAATCTAAAGGTGCTCACGAACTTCGACAACAGGTGCCTCAGGATTTTTAACGTGCAGTTAACTGCTCCAGGATTTTCAAGCTGGAATCTAATAACAGTCTCCAATATTGGTACAACTTCACCGCTCGCCTCACACCCATCTTCTAACTATGACCTCTCAAAAAAATCCCAGTTGGTGGCCGTCCGTTAGTTCATATCGTATTGACAGCTATTTTGTAGGTTCGTGGAGAGCCAACCAGATGCTGATGATGTGTCTGAATCTAACCTTGGCTACGATTTCGCGGTTGCTTCCTCTGCTGCGGTGATGTACGACATTCGGAAAAGAGGTAGGTTGGTGCGATTATCGGAGCAGCCGTCTCGCCGAGAAAGTTTTTGCAGGTCCAGTTGGTCTGGGTGAGCAGAGATGAATTTCAATAAATTCGCTACAGAGGCAACGCGGGTCCCCCATGACTTTTCTCTGTCTCAGTGTATGTAGCTTGCGTTATAAGTGTGCTTGATAAGTCATGCTGACTCGAAACATCCTAGGTGCGCTATCTTGGGCTATTATATACCGTGTATGTTTAGAAGGTTATCAGTTGGCGTTGTGCTAAAATGCCCCACAAGTGCGAGATATGGTGATTTTCAGGGTCCTGACTACTCTTGGCTGGATGCATATGACATCATGCAACATCGTCCCAGAAAAAATCAGATCCGTGTAGGGGAGATAATCACGAATCCGCCGCTTCCTGAAGCAACAGTAAGCACGGTGCTACATGGTATTCACAGAGCGTCAGTCCCCGACTTCCGGATCTGGCTCATGGCTCAAGCCCCGTAGCTAATCGGTGACGCGACCGCGCGCCGGACGCGAGCAAATCGCAGCCTCTCATTGCGACGACCACGGCACATTTCGCATAATTCTTAACGCATGACCAGAGTGATCTCACCGAAATTTAGCACCGCAATAATGTTCAGCCGCCATGATTGTTGACGCAGCCAAAAAGTAACGAGAACAATGTTGTAGTGAGTCCTGACTACCCCGTCTAGTATGACAGTATGAAATAAGAAAGACCTGACGCTCTAGTACACACCCTACCCTGCAATCCTATCCTGGGTCTCAAATAGAGAACCGCCCTGGGAGTTCTGGGCTGTGCATAGCGGCAGCGATACTGATTAGAGTCGATGCCCATTCTCCACCTTTGCCTCGTCTGAAATAGGCGGCGACGGTCAAGAAGAATAGGAAAATGAACATGGTATTCATGCCAGAGCTCTGACTTTAACAGAGCCGTCTTCAAAGGAGAAGGCGTCTGAGGTGATCTCAGTCTATTCTTCAAAGGTTCCATCGTGTCGCTTGCCCGATGTGCAACACAAATCCGGTGAACCAGGGTGCTGGTACCGGCGGAGACCCGATATAGTCATCACAACCGACCGTTTATGCCCGTCTGAAAATCGAGTTATTTCCGATGTTCAAGTTAGTCTAAGCAGCCAATAGATCCGCCGACCCTGTGGTTCTGCCTGTACTCGAGTCCCCCTGAAGTTTCCCCGAAGTCCGCCAAGCACGACCATGCTGATGAAACTGCCGAGTATCTCCCAAAAAACACTATCTCTTAGATATAAAAAAGGCAAGCCATCCTCCTACTGTCAGTATCAGAACTATTATTCGAGATCCCCCTCGGCGCATCCCATATTACCTAGCACAAGCCATGCATTTCTCATTCCTCCTCGCCGTTGCTGCTGCTTTGATAACATCTATCACTGTCAGTGCTGAGTCTGCTGGCTCACCTTACTGGGATTGCCTGGATAAAAACTTCGTTTGCGACAACAGCAACTCATTTGGCTGTTGCTGGGGTCTTACTTGTAAGACGGGTGTGAGTATGAGTTGTCCGTTTTGCATTCGAGATTCGACTCACCCTTTGCGCCTTGTACCAATAGCCTCTCATGGAAGACTACAAGTACTGCCAAAAGTAATTCTTTCCTGACGAGCTTAGCAGGCTGAGCATGTCGCGACAGTGAGTCGTGGTTATGTTTTCGCGTTGGTACAGTGGTTGATCGCACGATATGCAGATCGTCGCGGAGTTGATAAATGCACTTACTTCTGTACAAAATTAATATCCCTGCTGCCTCGATCAGACTCTTGAATAACATCAGCATGAATTCTGTGGCATTGACACAAGACGGTCATGTTACTCGCCTTGCATCCGTCTTTGCATGAATGCGCGAGAAAACCGGTTTATTCAGCCGAAATCGATTCTCGAAGTACGTGTACGTGCATGTCTTTGAAGATCGTTCAGAAAGAAGAAGGGGCTAGTGTCGAGGACACTCAGCTTCGCCATTGTGTCCTCCGACGTCCATGGTGCACCGGGCATGCGGCGGGCATGACCGGCCATGATCTAAACAACATCAGCGAGTCAGCAGCCCATCCACATAAACTAAATCAAAGTAAAAACAAGTCCATCGTTGCACGAACAATAACATCGTCTCAATAAAAGCAAAACAATCAACCTATTACTATCATTGTGCAGGTGCAGGTACTTGCACTAAAAGTTCGGGAGTTGAATTCTTAGGACAAAGTAAGTACTAGTATCCCACGTGGATGGAGTCATCTCAGTCGTGCTTTGGGTGTCTATTCCACCGCATAGCTAAGTGGTGCAGCTGTGCTGGAGTCAAAATATACAGGTTCACTCGAAAACCATGCCAAAAGAACAGTGCATACGTTTGATGAGGAATTGAACATCGATGAACATTGAAGTAAGATTCAAGGGTGCACAGAGGATGATTTTGAAAGATGTGCTGAAGACTCGAAGAGCAATGGGTTTGTGCTGAAGTTGTGGTGATAAGGTACAAGCAGACGCGAATAGGGCTGTTCGCCGTACGCTGTACGACGGGAGTTTATTGGGCCGTAATATGGCCACGATACCCATACCGTTGGCTGTTTAGGCCTTGAGTTGACGGTACGGGGGTACGGGCATAAAGGTCCCGTATGTTGCCGTATTTGTACGGCCGTATACGGTCGTACTACAGGTAATCTATAAATAAATAGACTTAGCTTGATAGCCTTATGTCTTATTTCGCAACAAGTCGTTCTGGACCTGATCCTCACACTATGGCGCAGTATTGCCAACAACACTATTTGTCAATCCGTGGGTGCTAAAACACCATAGGGTTGTGCACACGTAAGTCGTCGGATCTCGTTCATGTTGCTGTTCGACGATTTTTTTTCGTACAGATTGTAATGTCGACACCATTGTTTGTGATCGTCCAGACAAGAAGTGATTTGCATCTCTTATACCATGCTAACCTTTCATTCCGTACTCCGTTTACCTCCACCAGCGCCACGCAAGAAACGGTCGCACGTAATCATAGCAACTCACCGATATGCTTTTGCATGAATGTGTTCCGGCCTCCGGTCATTAATCATCGGTCACGTCTTCCTGCACACTCTTCCTGTCCCGCAACGAACCGCGACCAACACTTGGCATAAATCGGCTCTCAAATCTGGGAGAATCGTGCTGGGAGTTTCCAGCCGTGCATAACGACAACGAAATCGATGAGAGTCGACGTCCATTCTCCACCTTGGCCTGCCCTGGACTAAATGACGATGGTTAAGGAGATTAGGAACCGAGCGGTCTTCAAAGGAGCAACGTCCGAGGTCATCGCAGCCTGTTCTTCGAAAAATTCCGTTACACCGCTTGTCCGTGTGCAACACAAATCCGCTGAGCCGGGGGTGCTGATAACGGCGGAGATATTGGTTGGCCTAAGCAGACAAAGTAGAAGGAATATAGTCGTTCTGTCTCTATATGATACAAGGTACATCTCCATCACTACTTACTAGGTTGTGTTGGAGTTCATATGTTTGCACTTCACGTGTTCTGGATTGTTTTTTTTATTATACGGTAATTTCAATTACTGACCATTGTCTGGATTGTTTATCCGCCGACCCTGTGGTTCTGCCTATACTGGAGTCTCCCTGAAGTCCGCCAGGAGTATCATATGTTTGGTATAATTCGCCATATGTTTGATACCATGCTGATGAAACTGCTGAGTACTTCGCAAAAAAAAACTTTTCTTTCTTTCTAGTATATAAAGGAAGCCGTCTTCCTACTACCAGTATCATAACTATTATTCGAGATCCCCCTTGGCGCATCCCATATTACCTAGTACAAGCCATGCGTTTCTCATTCCTCCTCGCTGTTGTCGCTGCTCTGACAACATCTATCTCTGTCAGTGCTGACACTTCTGAGTCGACTTCCTACTGGAATTGCCTGCCTAAAGACTGGGTTTGTAACCACGACGGCAACGGAAGGGACTGCTGCTGGGGTCTTACTTGTAAGCCGGATGTGAGTATGAGTTGTCTGCTTTGTATCCGGGATTAAACCCCATAACTCACCCTTTGTGCCTTGTATAAATAGCTTCTCTTAGAAACGGAATTACACGCCACGTCCTGCCAGTAAGCCTCTCCTCATGAGCTTGGTAGACTGAGTATGTCGCGACAGTGAGTTGTTTTTACGTTTTTGCATTGGTACAGTGGTTGATCGTATGATATGCAGGTCGTTGCAGAGTTGATCAATATGCTTCCTTCGTGACCGTACAAATATCCCTGCTGCCTTCACCAGATTCTTGAATAACATTAGCATGAATTCTGTGGCATTGACAAAAGACATTCATGTTACTTGACTTGCGTACGTTTTTGCATGAATGCAATAGAAAATCGGTGTATTGAGCGCGAATAAATAAATCTCAAACACGATACTGATATGTACATGACATGTATAACCTCATTTTCTTCCTACCTTCGGCACTGATTTATTATCATTTTGCTAACTCACTGGCATTCTCTATCTTCTCACTCGGCATCGTTTGTTTCGTGACAGTAAGCCCAGAGGCTGATGGCGAACGTTCATTAGGCAGCGGTTTGGCTTGCCCTATTTCGACGATGGCAATTTACGCGGTATGCAAATAACAGACATGTGCCACGGAAAGCAATACCACTCAGCAGTTGGACCATCAGGGAGAAAAAATTGCAATCTGCAACCACAGTAAAAAAACGACAACTACAATGGCAGGGCACGAAGGTATGGCATCAACTGCAGGACAACTGCTATATCTAGAACTGATGTCTTCGAGGCTGGTTCTGTAATATGGGGGCAAGAGCTCTAAAAGACTGAATATGCCTGTCGACCTCCTACCAGACCTGAGGGGACTCGTAGAATGCTGAGGTAACTTTGTCCACTAAAGGGAGCGTGGATGAATGATGCAAGCGACAGCTTCCACATCCACTACGGAAGAGGAAGTCAAGTCTAATTTCCGTAAAGAGGTATGTTGGGATGACTTGGCTGTATGATCAATGTCAGTGTTCATAGCATCCATTAATAGGCGCAGGGTATGCAAGTGAGGACATAGAAGAAACGCTGCGAATAATCCACAGAATGTTATGGTAGGTATAGCAAGATGTCGTTTACCCGTTAAATCTAGATTTGGATGTGCGGCCAACTTGACATGGCTTCCAGGAGAATGTCGTTGTCAAGATATATGGGGAAATTATGGAGATGGACCCGCAGGGTTCGCAGCTGCGCGAAGCAAAGGAATTGTCTGACTACCGTCAAAGAGTTGACTGTGGGATCGTTGATGTAATCAAAGGATAGGATGGTGTCGAACTCTTTTAGGGATAGGAATTCTGAGTGTTCCATGATTGTGATCATATATGCCGCAGATTATACCTCGAAACAAAGATCCGTGATATTCGCGAAACCTGTGAAACTGAGATTGTGCTGGCCCAACGGGAAAAGTGGGTCGTCTCCGTGCTCGCTGATACACACTTTGAGAAGGGTGAGGAGGTTAGAGAGGTGGCTCCATGCTGCCCATTCAAGCGGCAGACAACACAGATGTTTGAGCCGCTTGCATGAACGGGCAGTTTCCGCTAGAATTGACGGCTCGTTTGGTGTATTCTCGTATTCGGGCACGACGGATAATTCCTCCGAAGCAGCGCAACGGGGCATGATAGATATTATATCTGAATAAAGAGCCGACACTGACAAACGGCGCAGCGTAGGGGACAACAAGTATCTGCAATCCGAATGCCCAGTTTCACAGGTTAATGACAGCAATCTCGGGTACATGCCTGTCTTAGCGAAAAGGACTGAGGGAAGGTGAACAGGGCATTCAAATGATATTCGCAGTGAGCGCACACGGGCGGCATGATGCAAAAACTGACGGGCTTCGTGCTCAGATAATGGTTCGACTCCTTTCCAAGAAATCCAGTACCACGGCGACTACGTGCTCGATGAGCTAATGAACAAGCTGAAAGGAAGCATGACTGACCTCAAGTGTCTTGTATTGATCATAATATATGATTGGATGTAGCCTGGTCACGCAACCTAACAGTGGTAGCATTGTCTCTACGTTAGCCCAAAGCAAATCCATTGCAGGTTTATGGAAGGTTTTGCATGTACATACTTGCAAGCGCTGCAAGGGCATTTCGCGATGATATTGTCGACCTCCGAGTTCTGTTCCTATATGTTACTTGATTCGAATGCGAGAATATCTCTAGGAAGACTTCGGAGACAAGTAGAGCACGATGCATCAATTCTATGACGATAGCGATGAGGGAAATGAGGAACTAATAGATTCAGAAAAGGACTCAGACACTAAGTAGAACCTGCAGGCGATAATAATGTCGCTTATGCTCGACACCGCCATGATATCACAGGCTTTTCACCAAATCCATGTATCCAACCGGTTGACGTTATTCTATTACTATATTATAATGAGTCCTGGGGCCTGATCGATGATCTCCGACCGCAACTTCCACCGCCTACTCCTACGAGAAAATGAACCATCGACACCTTTTATGGATGCCGGCGGCACATAACGTGATGTGTCGGAAGGGAGCTGTCTATTTTAGGCTGGTGAATGATGCTAGAGTTTACGGGAAGCGCTGAACGAGTCAGTCATGACACGGACTCACCATTCAATATCATCAGCCAAGAGGGTAACTGCGATGCCATTTAGTCCCGCTGGTGTGACCTCTGCGTTTGACGCTGAGGGCCTCGATGAGCAAATTTCAAAATTCCTGGAGGACTAAGTACCTTTCGGTTGGTCTCTGTTGTTGGTCCATGGGTAAGTGGGCTGCTTCAACTTTGCACGATTAACAATCGTTGACACAACTTTGACCGTTCTAGGTGCGAAGCACGCGAGCACCCAAGAACTGACCCAGGAAGAGAGCCGCGGGGCATGGCGTGCTCGGCATTTACCGCACCTGAGCCAAATCATAACCCACAAGCACCATACTGTAGAGATACGACACTAGGTTCGTCACAGGTCACAGCCCTTGACGAATCGAATCTATTTGGTGTGACCGTCACATGGATTTTGGCGGGACGAAGCTAATTTGTGACATATGGAAAAAAAAACATAAGAAAAAACATAGGTTGTGCACTAATAGGACCAGAAATCATCATACATTGAATTTGCGATGTGTCTACACTTTCCACGCCCATACTCAACCTTCAGAACACTGTTCGAGCCACCTTCCACATCTTCAGCAGCAATGTCACCCACATCATAGACTTCGGAGTGGTTTGCACACGAAAGTCCACCATCTGCATTGATACGGCAGTCAGAACGGACGTGTTCACCCCTGGAAGCCATATGGTCAAGAAGTGCATCCATTGGCACGTCACTGGGATTCAACTCCGATAGCATTAGTGGCCTCGTCCTCTGACTCGGAGTCTGTTGCCTGGTCGACGCTGTCAGTCTTGTACTGAGCAGTAGCAATCCTCGCCCATCCAGCTAGATCGTTCTTCTGAACATCGCGTAAATATTGCAATGCCTCCCGACTTGTGAGACTCGCAAACGAGAGATTGAACTTCTCCCCGGCCTTACACTGGAGTCTCCAAGTCCACTCGTTACCATTCAGCGCTATGCAAGGTGAATCCATGACAAGCTGAAGCAAGTTGCTGCAATCACGAAGCAGCATGTCAGAATGACAGGCACTTGAAAATGGATCATAGACTCACCTGGCAGGTTTTAAGACCACGGAGTCTCCAAGTCCACTCATTACCATTCAGAGCTATGCGAGGCGAATCCATGACAAGCTGAAGCAAGTTGCTGCAATCACAAAGCAGCATGTCCGATGGTCACTGTTCACCCGCGGGCGAATCTATTTGGGTATGGTCACAGGTCGCATGGACATTCGAACCTGTGACACTGAGTGTGACGTAGTCACAGGCTGCACATGACGAACCTAGTGTCGTATCTCTACAGTATTCCGCCACCTACCTAGTGCAGCCTCTGGGCTTGACGAGGAGAGAGAGATACATGCACACTACTCGAGTACTTGTTCTCTTCCTCGTCAACTGCTAGTAGTCTCCCTCTCACCGGTGACCGCATCCTCTAACGCTCGAAATTTCTGGTGTCTCGCTCGCATCCATTTTCTCACCCGGGGTCCACACTACCTCATGTCAACTAATTAAGTCGTTCAACAGCCTGCCAGTCGATATATCAACCCAGCGCCGGTAATATAAACAATGTACGAACCAGGCTAGTGTTCAGCAGCCCAACGACTGCTGAGTAGCCCCACATTACCTGCACTACCATAGAAGAAGCTGGAGACGGAATCAGATGGTACGATTCCCTTGGAAATTGGAATACACAAATTTGAGGTGTTGAGATGTTTGACGCGCCACCTCGCCTTGCCTGCGTGTATGATCACAAGCCTATCAATTCTGGAGCGCTGATGCGAGGGGAGATTAGGGATGAAGCTAGCAAGAAGTTGTACTAGGTGAGTAGGACAGGAATTATACACGGAGCTACGTGAAGTGCCCCATGGGACATGACGACATGCTGATTTTAAACATGTTACATCAGATATCAAATGAATTGGGCCAGCGAGACGTACTGCTGATGATCATCGAAATCTGAGCCTGTAGGCTTTTGTGATGATCGCATCGCGCTGCGGCCTGTGTGAGATTGATGGACTGCTGATGGCACTTGCCCTACATACTTGACTTCACGCGACAATCTTTACGTTGGTCAGGCCAAGGCAGGAACGGGTGTCATTCCTGTGGCTCTCATTTCGGTCACAATAGCCCTGGTCGTATGTCCACCAACTTCACCGTTCCCTCACATCCATCTTCTAGCAGTATGACACTAGTCTCAAATAATCCAACTTGGTGGCCGGTCATCAATG